TGTTTAGAAACATTCCACTTATGCCTTAGTCTCCTAAAATTGAAATCTTAGTCATCCAGAGGCCCTGGTTCTCTTATCCTAACACCAGTCTTTAGGGAGGTCAGGAGGGGCCAAATCATTTTAGTTGCCTTTCCAAGAATGCTTTCCAAGGGGCTTCCATGATTGCATTCCTTCTGCAGTTTTTCCCTGTGTCCTTATGTACTCACGCTCAGATACTCACTCACGCTGTTATTTAGACCTGTTTATTTCACACTTGTCTCACTCATCCCCACAAACACTGGCACTTTCACAACTGATTGTTATTACATACTTTGGTAATTTGAATGAGAATGATCCTCATAGGCTCATATATTTGAATGATTCCTCAGATTGGTAGAACTGTTTAGGAAGGATTAGGAGGTGTGATTTTGCTGGAGGAAGTGTGCCATTTGAGGGTGGACTTTGAGGTTCCAAAAGCTCACACCATTCTCATTTAGCTTTCTCTGTAGTTGAGGGTGTAAACTCTGAGCTACTACTCGAGCTTGCTCCATGCCTGTCTGCCTGCTGCATATGGCAACCTGCCATGATGGTCCTGAACTGTGCAAAACAGACTTTTGATGCCATTTAATCTTTTGGAAGTAGGAAGACTTCTTTTTTTTTAATTTATTTTTTATTAAAAATTTCCACCTCCTCCCCGCCCCCTTTCCCCCCTCCCCCCNCCCCACTCCCCTCCTCCTCCCTCTCCAGTCCAAAGAGCAGTCAGGGTTCCCTGCCCTGTGGGTAGTCCAGGGTCCTCCCCACTCCATCCAGGTCTAGGAAGGTGAGCATCCAAACAGGCTAGGCTCCCACAAAGCCAGTACATGCAGTAGAATCAAAATGTAGTGCCATTGTCTTAACTTCTCAGCAGCCCTCATTGTCCACCATATTCAGAGAGTCCGGTTTTATCCCCTGCTTTTTCAGTCCCAGTCCAGCTGGCTTTGGTGAGCTCCCAATAGATCAGCCCCACAGTCTCAGTGGGTGGGTGCACCCCCTCACGGTCTTGACTTCCTTGCTCATGTTCTCCCTCCTTCTCTTCCTCATTTGGACCTTGGGAGCTCAGTCAAGTGCTCTAATGTGGGTCTCTGTCTCTATCTCCATCCATCGCCAGATGAAGGTTCTATGGTGATATGCAAGATATTCATTAGTATGGTTATAGGATCAGGCCATTTCAGGCTCTCTCTCTTCAGCTGCCCAAGGACCTAGTTGGGGACATCTCTCTGTACCCCTGGGAACCCCTCTGGAGTCAAGGCTCTTGCCAACCCTAAAATGGGTCCCTTAATTAAGATATACACTTCCCTGTTTCCATATCCACCCTTCCTTTATCCCAACCATCCCATTCCCTCAAGCTCTCCCCATCCTCCCCTTCTCACTTGTCTCTCCCCATTTCCCCTTTCCCCCATCCCACCCACCCATTGGAAGTAGACAAGATTGCTTAAGACTTAAGACTATTAGTAGTTTGTCTTCAAAGATTTTCTTTTTTCTAGGTGCCTATAAGCAAAGCATTTTTTAAAATTTATTTTTGTTTAAACTCAGAACATTATCAACTTTATTGCATTCGTAAATTTTCCTATACTTTGAATCATACATTTGCTAAGTGAACTAGGACAATCAGAAGTATTTGCACAGTTCTAGAAATCATGTGGCTTTTTTGCAGTGAGTTTGTTTATGTATTAACAATGATGGTAGAAAACCAATTATTTATATAGTTGAATCAAATTGAACAAGTATACTCGATGTGGGGACTACTGCTTATCTTCTGATTGTTCTTAGGGATAGGTAGGCTGCATTTTCCCGTATTTCTATGCTCATAGGCTTGTATCAAGAGTAGTATGTGGTATACATAGTAAAGGAAGAATAACAAATAAAACATTTCCACATTGAACTCTCAGGGTTGGACTTTCTGTTCCTTGTAGATGTGTGGTATAGATATTAAAATTTCTTCACAATAACTGCCCCTTGACTCTAATTGCTCCTGTCACTAAACTTAATATTGTAATGAGAAGTATATGAGTAATACAAGATTTACTATGGGCTCTTGGTTTAGTAGAAAGTTTTGCAGATACACTTATCATCACTTCAGTGTGTATACATTTTGTATTGTGAGTAACAGGAAATAAATGGATTGGCAGATCTGCAGCACAGCTCTCATGGTGCTATGATTCAAATTGTGATATCCATTTAGCCATTCCTTATTTGACTTCTTTTTTTTAATTGATTTTTATTGAGCTCTACATTTTTCTCTGCTCCCCTCCTGTTCAATCCTCTCCCAAGGTCCCTATGCTACCAATTTACTCAGGAGATCTTGTCTTTTTCTACTATCCATGTAGATTAGATCTATGTATGTCTCTCTTAGGGTCCTCATTGTGGTCTAGGTTCTCTGGTATTGTGGTTTGTGGACTGCTTTTCTTTGCTTTATGTTTAAAAACCTCTTATGAGTGAGTACATGTGATAATTGTCTTTCTGTGTCTGGGTTTCCTCACTCAAAATGTTTTCTAGCTCCAGGTGCCTGCAAAATTCAAGATGTCGTTATTTTTTCGGCTGTGTAGTACTCCATTGTGTAAATGTACCACGTTTTCCTTCTCCATTCTTTTTGGGGGGGGCGGTTTTGAGACAGGGTTTCTCTGTGGCTTTGGAACCTGTCCTGGAACTAGCTCTGTAGACCAGGCTGGTCTCGAACTCACAGAGATCCGCCTGCCTCTGCCTCCCGAGTGCTAAGATTAAAGGCATGCGCCACCATCGCCCAGCTTAGCAGTCTGTCTGTCTATTTATTTATTTATTTATTTATTTATTTATTTATTTATTTATTTATTTATTTTATTTATAAATAAATATTCTGCAATATTTATTGTGCAATAAATATTGTGCAATATTCTGTCTGTGTGTATGCCTGAAGGCCAGAAGAGGGCACCAAACCCCATTACAGATGGTTGTGAGCCACCATGTGGTTGCTGGGAATTGAACTCAGGACCTTTGGAAGAGCAGGCAATGCTCTTAACCTCCGAGCCATCTCTCCAGCCCCTCCTTATCCATTCTTCAGTCGAGGAGCATTTAGGTTGTTTCCAGGTTCTGGCTATGACAAACAAAGCTGCTATGAACGTAGTTGAGCACATGGCCTTATGGCATGCTTGAGCATACCAAAAGTGGTATTACTGGGTCTTAAGGAAAGTTGTTTCCTAATTTTCTGAGAAATCACCACAATTCAAAGGGACTGTACCAATTTGCATTCCCACCAGCAATGCAGAAGTGTTCCCTCTTCCCCACAATCTCTCCAGCATACGTTGTCATCAGTGTTTTTGGCTATTCTTATAGGTGTAACATGGAATCTCAGAGTTCTTTTTATAAACATAGCATTTAAAATGTTCTTTTATGGAGATGTATTTTCCAGTTGTGTTTATATCACTTAAGTACTAACAACAGGTTTGTGTTTTAGTGCCATGTAAGGGCCTTTACAGTCTTAAGTCATAGCTGCTAAATATAAGCTGGTAACATTCACATTTGTCTGTTCAAACAGAAGCATACATTTTTGGAGGGGAAGACAGGGTCTCTGTGTAGTTGAAACTGGAATCAAATTCACTCTGTAGGCCAGGCTTGTCTTAAGTTGAAACGGTCCTTAGCTTCCCAGGTGCTAGGGATCCCATCCAGGTCCTCATGCATGCTCTACCTTTGAGCTTCACTTCTAGATCAGAGTCATACTTTCAAAAATAAAACAAGTCAGCTATTAGATAATTTATAATGATATTTTATTTACAAAATTAGTAAGAGAGAGACTGCGTTCCTTTGTTGCCTAGACTGGTTCTGAACTTTTAGTCTCAAGCAAGTCTCCTGCTTCAGCCTCACAAGTAATTGAGATTCGAAGCACATTGCACTGAAAATATAGCGCATTTATGTTGTAATAGATTCCTTTGTTTGTTTGTTTTTCAAGACAGGGTTTCTCTGTGTAGCAGCTTTGGAGCCTGCCCTGAAACTTGATCTGTAGACCAGGCTGGCCTTGCACTCACAAAGATCTACCTGCCTCTGCCTCCCGAGTGCTGGAATTAAAGGTGTGTGCCAGCACCACCCGACTTATAATAGATCTCTTGAACCAACCGTGGACATGTCTTATACTCTTACCAGTCTTGCTGAGGAATAGCAGTGCATATGGGGAAAGCTGAAGAATTGATGAATCATTGCAACTAGGCAGAGAAATTTTTTGTTTTGAGTTATTTTGGTAAAATAAGTAGGCTGTCAAAGCTGATAATGGGAGTGGTTTTCAGATGACTGCATGGAATATGTGTAATATAAGGAAGGGGTTTGAAGATCAAAACTGGATGGAGAGTCCTGACTCCTGGAACTTGCTCTGTACACCAGGTTGGCCTTGAATCAAAGATTCACCTGCCTCGCATCTCCCCAGTGCTGGGATTAAAGGCATGTGCCACCATGCCTAGTATTCTAGGTTTTCTAGTAAGATCAGAATATTTTGCTGGGGTAGAGAGATCCTTCTCCCTTTAAGTGAGCATATGTATTCATGCTGGGCTTGGTGGTGCATGTCTTTAATCCTAGCACTTGGGAGACAGAGACAAGCCAGTCTCTGTGAGTCTAAGGCCAGCCTGGTTTTATAGTAAGTTCTAAGTCAGCCAAGCCTATGTAGTGAATTCTGTCTCAAACAAACCAACAAATAACAAAGACAAACTAGCAAAACATAGGATATTCACTGAATGTTAACTTACCATAAAAAAGAAATTGGAAAATATTTTCGGGATTCATCCATAGGAGGAAGGGCAAACAAATTATATATGCTTTTAGTAGAGAAAATTATGGCATTATCAAAAAGTAAAAACTGAGACAGGTCTTCATGTGCAGTGAAAGAAAGCTGTCTTTGATGTAATTAGCCCTTGGGAATGGTGTGTATCATACTTACTTCATTACCACAAACCTGTTTGTATTTGCTCTGATGCCTGAAATATTTCAGATGTTTAATTCTTTTCCTCCTTTTTAAAAAACAGCTTTTAGAGATTAACTGGACAGGATTGACTAATCTCCTGGACATCCCTGGACTGAAGTAAGTCTTGTCAGTTTGACTGCAGTGGCTGCTGAGGGAAGTCTGCCTCTCCTCACGTTTGTTCTTAAGAAAGTGGGTCACATTGGAACCTAGATGTGAAGTTTCTAAACCAAAGCAGTGGAAGCTCTTTTCCATTCAGTGACAACTTAATGAATAATAAACAAGGAAATTGTCCTGTAACAGTGCCTGAGTCACCAAGTGTACATTCCCCTGTGGGAGGTTAGATGAGTCACTGTCCATGTGCCTGAAATGGTAGAGTAGGACAGAGTGCAGTCTGTCCTACAAAGCTTCCTTTTTGTTCTTTTGATTATTTTGTTTGAAGTTTAAAATGCATGACTTGTTATTAGTTACATTTATTTCTAGTGGCTATTTTGCTAATCTGTGGGTTTTTATCCTTAAATAGCTTACAAATTCAATTCCAAAACTTTGATTTTAGACTACTTTTTTCTATTTCCGTATACTTGTTTATGCCTCTGAAATGACTCCTAAAATCAAGTTTTATTTCATTCTCAGTTAAAAAAGACAGCAGCTTTAATAATCTGAGACAAGTCAGAAGTAAAATGTCCATGGTTTACCAGGTTAATATAAGTACTGTTATCTGTGGATAAGAAAATACAACTTTGAAAGGTTTCTTGATAAGTTCATTAGAATCTTGATTACAAACAAAATACTGATTTAAATTGGCACTTTTAAATCTTTTGCTGGGGATTAAACTCAGGAATTTTTTTCAGGCCTGGGACTGGTTTTGAGACAGGGTTTCTCTGTGTAACTGCCCTAGCTGTTCTGAAACTAGCTCTTTTCTCAGAGAGCTTAACATGCAGCTGCCTTTATAGCTCCCAGAGCATTCTTTGTGGGATATTAGGCTCAGGTAGGTGTTGATGCCAACATACAGTCTGCAGGTGAGTCCTTGAGCTTGTCTTCAGACAGATTGGACAGGGTGGGCCCTGTGATTTTAACAGCCAGAAGAAGCCAAGGAATGTTCAATTATGTGGGCACCATGGCCCCCAACTGATGAGTGATGTAGCTGTTTCCCACATAAAGGGAGAACTTAATCTGGAAATAGCAGTGCTTGCTGGATTTTGTTAGTCTGCTGTAAGCAACAGGTATCTGCAAAGGTTAATGTAGAAACATGTCTTGTACCTTGTCTTTCTTCAGCGTCATAGGAGGACTTAAATAAGAAGGCTAATTGATCATCTCTCTGCTCTGCAAATGACATAGTATGACCTCTGAAAATGGCAATGTGGCATAGAAGGATATGCCCTGCCCCTCACAAGACTGCAGCCAGTCTGAAACCATTTATTTACCAAGGATCTATACATAATCACAGTAGACGCATTCATGTGGATATGCACATTTCATTTGCACACATAACTAGTTTCATCTCAGTTGTAATATAAGCAGATTTCTTTTTTATAATATCTTCTATTAATGTGTAAATCTTATATGTAAGTATAAACTATATTGTAGTATATATTGAATTATATCACGAAAATACATACTTAAAAGACTTGGGAAAATAGTTGAGTTGACAAAGTGTGTGCTGTGCATCAGAACCTTAGTTTGATCTCCAGCATCTGTATAAAAAGCCAGATGTGATCGCATGTACTTACAATTCTAGCACAGGGATATGATGCTGGTGAATTACTGGAGCTCTCTAAGCAACTATCTAAGTCTAAATCTTCCAACGCTAGGTCCTAGTAATTGGTCTCACTTTAGAAAACAAGATAGAAGGCATCTGAATAACAATATCAAATGTTGACCTCTTTTCACCACATGAAGACACATGCATAAATATGCACACATACCTGTATGCACACACACAGATACATGCTTATATATATGACACGTACAGAGATAAATATGCATACATTGTTAAAAGTAAGCTATCTATGGCATAGTGGCAATATATAGAAATATCCTTCCAAAATAAGATGACATTTAGATATACTATATATAATTTATATGTAATTGTGTATATTTTATAAAATATAGTATTTGTGATGCATATTTTATGTAATAAAATATAAAATTGGACTGTGTAATAGGAAATCGCACAAAGATTTTCTGTTAAGCCTGATACAGTAGTACCTGCCTGCTAGGAATCCCAGTGCTTGGGAGGTAGGGACAGGAAGATCAGAAGTTCAGTGCCATCCTTGGCTACATAGCAGATTTGAGGCAAGCTTTCCCTATGTGAGAACCCGATGTTAAAAAGATTTTCTGTTACATATATCAAGTATAGAGCAAGCCTTATGTTAATAATACTCAAAAAAGATACTATTTAATAACAGAGCTTGATATAGTGAACTCTTATGCAGGCTTTGCAAGATAAGATATATGTTGTATTCATGAGCTACAAAAAGAACTGGAGTCATTACAAAATAAAAATAATGTCTGAATCAGTTCACTGTGAAAACTGTTTTTGTTGTCATGCTGTAAAATCCCTGTTAGGTTTCAGGGAAGAGCTTATTCTACACAGAGAATGTGGAAAAGGGCAAAGGTCGGGGTCAGAAGCAGAAGCAGTGCTGTAAGCCAGACTTGGAAACCAGTGCCGGAAAGAGAAGTTTTAGACGGTTGGATGGATGCTGTGTAGGGGTCTGGGAGCAGTGTCCACACCTACTGACTAGTACAGGGTGCTGGTGAGCCTGCCTGGGATGTTGGCCACAGTTACTGCTGGGATGGATCGCTGTCTTCTGAGCATAGTAGTGCCAGCAGAAGGCAAGTGCTATGTTATCCCAACAGTGAGGAGTGAGATTCTTTAGGACTTCAGTTAGGAAGGGGTCTCTGTTTCAGCAGGTATTTCAGTATAAACAAAGCAATCACTTTGAGAGGAAATGCTGAAGGTACGAAGGAGTTGACATCGGCTGTGTAGGATCCTCTAGCTCCTTACAGAAGAGCAGGCGCACAGCACTTGTAGCTCAAGTGTTTTACATCTCTTCAGAAGTGTTAACAGCAAAGATGACCTGCTGCATTCCGATAGGAAGATTGGTGCTGTGTGTGACTGAGTCCTTTCCTTTTATTAAACCGAAAGGTCCATATCTTGCTACCACATGTCAATCACTTTTGCTTAAGTGATTATGACGACAGAGGACATGTTTGCATGTGTAATTGTGTATATTTGCTAGTAACTCAACACCAGACAGGACTGGCAGTAATCATTCTTTTCAAAACTCAGGGTTCTAGTAAAAATTTTTAGAGTAAGTATATGTCTCCAAAAGTTTTGTCGTATATGCATTGTTTAATTCTCACTTCTACCTTAAAAACAGGTAAAGATAGATACACAATGCTTTCCTGTAGTCTTTTATTTGTATTACTGAGTTTGTTATGCAGTGTTATAGTTGATCAAAATTATTGAAGTACTCAGAATGAAGAAAAACAACTAAATTATTTTACTTCATTTGAAACAATATACAACAGTAAAGAAATAATATATGCATAAACATGAAATGGGTTTGTGAATGTTCACTGTGTTATTCTCTGTGCTTTTACATATATTTGAAATGTTTATGTTAAAAAACAAATATAAAGAAATGTAACTTAACTATGTTTATGTCATATAGGGATATTTGAAAGATTGTTCATTAAATTATGAAATGGTGCTAGAATTTTATGTTGTATTCCAAAAAAATTCTGCCTCATAGTTACAACAGCAGTGTAGCTGAAACATTAAATATTGCCTCTAAGTACTATTCTAGGAAAGTTAGGGAACTCCCATCCCCTGCATGGCTATAGGATCAAGATTGAACATGTTTAAATATATATATATACACACACACATAGATATGATTGTTCTTTGTCTCTCAACTAACAGTGGTTTATCTGATACTATCATTCTGGATATAATATCAAACTATCTGGTGCTTCCCAATCGAATCACTGTTCCTCTTGTCAGTGAAGTTCAAATAGCGCAGTTGCGGTTTCCCATACCAAAGGTAAGCATACGTTTGTATTCACTAGTAATTAAATACTTACCACGACCTTTTAAGCACAAGGCATTTTTATTTGGTTGGTTTTTATTTGTTGTTTTGCTTTGTTTTTAGACAGGGTTTCTCTGTGTCGCCCTGGCTGTCCTGGAACTCACTTTGTAGACCAGCTAGCCTCAAACTCACAGAGATCCTCTTGCCTCTGCCTCCCAAGTTCTGGGATTAAGTGTTCCACCACTGCCTGGCCTAACCACAGTCAGTGTGTTAATATTTAGACTTTTTTTGTCTTTCTGAACAGCAGTGTTGCCATTTGTGTTAATACATTGGTAGCTGCCCTGCATTCCCTCAGAGATGTCTTAGGGAGCCTCTGCCCCTAAGGCTGTCCAAAGACTTCAGGAGTTCTTATGCTTCAGTCACCCCCTTCAGGGTATCACTAGGGCTCAATTCTACAAATATAATCACAAGTCATAAGGATAGCAGTGAACAGCCGGCAAAAGTCATCTCAAAAGGTATATGCTATATGTGTTTTTATGGAGATATAATCATTCTCAACAACAAGTGAAATGAGAGTGCTGATACAATAAAAATTCTGATATGACATGGGAATGTGATTATTTCTGAAATTTCTTAATGTATAAGGTGACTGTCTTAGTCATTGAAGTTAGTATTGCTGTATAGAGACAGCGTGACCATGGCAACTGTTATAAAGGAGAGCACTTCATTTGGGCCTTGCTTATAGGTCGGAGGTTTAATCCATTATCAGCATGTCAGGGAGCTTGGAGCCACACAGACAGACATGGTGCTGGAGGACGAGCCGAGAGTTCTACATCTGGATCTGTAGGCAGCAGGAAGAGAACCACTGAGGCTGGTTTGGACTTCTGAAACCCCACAGCCCACCCCTAGCGACACATTTCCTCCAACAAGGCCACACCTCTTAATTCTCAAATAGTGCCAACCTATGGGAGCCATTCTTATTCAAACCACCACAGTGACAGAAGAGGCACTTGTGCAACAGCTGTACTGAATGAAAAAGAAAAAGCAGAACTCTTGAACTTGAAGGTAGCTATGGTTGGATCTCAGTTTCAGCTTCTATGAAATGTGGAGCGTAGAACTGGGTCATATGTCTATGGAGTCACCTTAAGCAGACCACTGTAGGCAAAAGTGAGACCTGTCTCCTGTCATTAGAGATTCAGTTCTGTCAGCCATTTGTTGTGGATCCACAGAGGTCAAGAAAATAGTAGTATTGTGGATTGTCTACAATAAAGAATAGTACTGATACATTCTATACATTCTGTCTATACACTCTATCCTAGAATGTATACATTCTAGTTGTACTAAAGCAGGAGGGAAGGTGGTGCCATTTTAATGGTTGTGTTGTTTCCATTTTTATTTCTGAAATGGAAATAGTGTTGCCTCAATGCCCTTATTTTCTCACGTAGATTTCAACAATACAAAAATTGGCAAACACACATGACCATACATGCATATAGACACACACACACTACATATATATTAGTTCTTCTTGTTTTTTTTTTAACCTTTCTCTGATGTTGAGGCTTAAACCCAGGATCTATGTCCTAGCCTATTCCTTTTATTTTTTTAAGAAAGCACACATCATTTAATTTGATGATAAGCTTATATTATTCACATTTAACAGATTTGATACTCTACATATAAAAAGGGAACTCTTCTAAGATACAGGAGTCTCTTTTGTGTATTAAGTACAATAAGCACTGGAGCCAGCTTAGGTCCAACTCCGTTTGTTTTCTGAACTTCAAACCAATGTTGGGAAAGATGTGGCCACATGATCTTGGCTGTAGCCATATGAAACTACAGACAAGAATCTTTAGTGCTTTCTGAAGTGTATTCATCTTCAGAGAAGTTTATCTTGTCCTGACAAGCCAGAAATGTTAGCCTGTAATTATTTAAGCATTTGGAGGAAGAGTATTATTACCCCACCAAACTTTGATTTGTCATAAATGAAATGAGTAAATATTTTTCTCCTACAAATAAGACAACTTTTGAGAAGAACATTTTATTTTTGATGAGTACTGCATATTTCAGAGTTACAGTGTCCTCTCTACAAAGTAGGCCTAATGATAGTGTTTCATAGAATCGGTCTAAAAATTGAGTGGCATGGTTGCTAAAAAAGAAGTGCTTAGTAACAGGTCTGATGTACCCTACATGTTAGTTAGTACTTAGTTAGTAACTAAGTCCCGGGATTTTTGGTGAGCCTTGAGGCCCTGTTGTTACTGACTTCCTGGGAATAATTTTTTTGCTGCACTGGGACCTCTGCAGTCAGTGTTCCCTCGACCAAGAATGCTCAAGGCTCTCTGCAAGCAGCTGTGTGGCTCACTGCATTTCTACTGGGGAGTCCTTACCCATAAACAGTTCTACTGTCTAGTGGGATGACATACTGTCTTCCCTTAATACTTGCTTTCTGAGTACTTGTCCCAGCTGAACTGTCACAGTCCCTGCTGGGGAATGCACTGTGTGTCTCCCATTCTTCATAGCAAATAGTCTAAGTAGTTTGCTGCTCTTTTCAGGGTGTCCTAAGAATTCATTTTATTGAAGCTCAGGATCTTCAGGGGAAAGACACCTACCTTAAAGGCCTCGTCAAAGGAAAATCAGACCCCTACGGAATTATCCGAGTGGGCAACCAAATCTTCCAGAGTAAGATTATCAAAGAGAACCTTAATCCAAAATGGAATGAGGTATATGAGGTAAGCAGTGGGGGCCATATATAGTAACTGAGTGAGGGCACTAGAAGTCTGATTCCAGATCTGTCACACAGAAGTATAGCTAACTTGGACCATTGTTTAAGTTTTTTTAATTTCCCATTTTGAGTAAATTTTGTACTTTCTTTTTTAATTTAAAAAAAATGTAATATGAACACAAGGGATTTTAAGCATTAGTTATGTAAGGCTGCCACAATGATTAATGGCAATATATTTTCTTAATATAAATAAGTTTTTCTGGCTATAAAATATTACATATGGCTGAAATACAAGCATTAAAATATACCGTTTTATACATCCTTTTCATTAAATATCTAGACATTTTTACATTTCATTGGATAGATAACTGCATGGTTATTGGCTTTGTTTTTGTTATATTTGTTTCCTTTTGTTTTGTTTTATTTTGTTTATGTTCATTTTTTTTCTCTACATTTTATTTCCTTGAGATATGATATGCATGTATTTCAGGCTGTCCTGCAACTCATGATCCTCCTGCTTCTGCTTCCCAAGTCCTGTGATTAGAGGTGTGTACCACCACACCCAGCCAGGTTCGGCCTTACTTTTGATAGCCATTCCACTGAATTTATTTACCTACAGAGGCCTGGGCTACTAACTATAGTACTATGGCCAATGTTCTTCAAGTGCAGCGTCAAATGTAGCCTTAAATTGCTGGATACAAAATTGAGGTTTTAAAGAACAGGGTTGTTCTTGAGAATAGTAATGCATATGCCCTTTCTTGTCACCCTGTGCTCTCTGTCCCCTTGTCAGTTCCGTATTCTTTGAATGGCTAAGTGGCTAGTGGTTTTTCAAGGTAAGCATTTGGATGGAACTACTTCAGATCTTCGAGCTGTTTCCTGCATCTTCCCTTGGCCTTAGGCCTTAGATAGCCCTGCGGTAATTGCACACTGCCACCCTGTTTCAGAGCCCGTTGATGGGGAATTCAGGTAACCAAGAAACATGCCCAGCCGACTTGCTGTGGGCAAGTATTTTAGAATGGCCCAGTCATCAAGAAGTATGTGTGGTCTGACAGTAAGAAAGTACACCTTTAGAACTGCTGACTGCTAGAGAAAAGTACATGGTGATATTTGTTATAATCACCATACTTAGTACTTGACTGTGGTAGTAAACCTGCAGTAACTACGAACCATTAATTTTCAGGCTTTAGTCTATGAACACCCTGGACAAGAATTGGAGATTGAACTCTTTGATGAAGATCCAGATAAGGATGACTTCTTAGGAAGGTGAAGAAAGAATTTGGGAACACCCTCACTGATGCAGAGTCTCTCTCTCTCTCTCTCTCTCTCTCTCTCTCTCTCTCTCTCTCTCTCTCTCTCTTTCACTGATGCAAGCTCTAAAATCAATTTATTTACACATTTTCCATGGCTTTTATGTGTAGCATTTATTTTACCAGATATTTTTCTAAAACAATTTTACTTCTAAAAAATCCATTATAGCAACAATAGCACTAGGCCTGATTCCACCAGCCAGTTAGACTATGCAAACTAGAGGCCCTAGCAACTGTGCATGCAGAGCCCCTCTTTGTGCAGGGAGGTCTATAAATATGTCCTTCTAAGTTGTAAATGTGCTCTTAATTTTAAGCTGTCTCAATTTTCTAGGGTATAGTCATTTACATTGTACCCATATATTGTGAGTAGTAAATACTGATTTATTTGCTTTGGTTGAAGAATTAATATATCTATGAAAAATGGGCTTTCAAAATACATTTCTGAGGCTGAGAGGTGGCTTAATGGTTAAGAATTCTTGCTGTTTTTCCAGAGGACCCAAGCTTAGTGCTTGGGACTCACGTCAGATGGTTCACAGCTGCCTGAAACTCTAGCTTCAAGAGCCTTGATAATGCCTGTAATTCAAGCACAGAGGAAACAAAGACAAATGTATCCTTGGGAATTATTAGGGTCAGTCTAAAATTGCTTAATGAGTTCCATCCAAGGGTTGTGAGATACCTGGTCTCAAGAAAATAATACCAAGCCGGGTAGTGGCGCACACCTTTAATCCCAGCACTTGGGAGGCAGACACAGGTGGATCTCCGTGAGTTTGAGGCCAGCTTGGTCTACAAGAGCGAGTTCCAGGACAGGCTCCAAAGCATAAGAGAAACCCTGTCTCGAAAAACCACAAAGAAAAATAAGACCATACTGTAAGAAAAATAAATGAGGTTGTCCCCTCGCCTCCACATTTGTGCATTTGCATCTGCACACATAATGAATGGATATGCATGCACACATCTAATACATGTCTATCTAAGGTTATTTAAATGAGTTTATTTTGGGGAAGGGGCTGGTAGAGGATTAGATTACATTGGAGAAGTTTATGCCTCATCAAGTATGGCCTTGTGTGTTGTGCTCTGACTTCAGAATCTCTAAGACCCACGTGTTGTGCTCTAAGTTCAGAGTCTGTGACTGTGTACACAGCTTAAGTAGGACCTGGACCATGATCAAATCAAATATGCTACGTAAGCGTGTAGATGGGAGGTCATTAAAGCAGCTAGGGCATGTTATTGACTAGGGCTGAGAGCGGACAAATTAGGAGATATGTTCAGAAGTATGTGTAGATTAAGCCCTTCTTCCCCATTCCTGTGGAAGTAGTGCCATGGTTGAATTAGAGTAGGATTGTTTGGTGATAATAGAACCTACTCTCTGACCTACTAGTGGACTTGATAGAGTGTGGACTTAAAATTCATTATGCAAATAGCTGAATCCCCAGTGATGACTGGTAGCACCAAGGGATGACATGTAGAAACCTATTAGCTAGCCAGCCGTGGTGGTGCACACCTTTAATCCCCATACTTGGGAAGCAAAGGCAAGTAGATCTTTGTAAATTCAAAAGTCAGCCTGGTCTAAATAGTGAGACTGTCTCACAAAAACACAAATCAGCTAGAGCTGGGGAGTTTACTGCAAAGCGTTTGCCATGAAAGCATGAGAATCAGTTCAGACCCAGAACCCACAAAAATTCCAGAAAAGCATGGCAGCTGTCTGTACTTGGAAGACTGGGTGTGCCCAGAACAAACTTACTAGTCATATCAGGCTCCGAGTTCAGTTGAGAGATGCTTTCTTGATGCATAGGGTGAAGAGTAACCGAGGAAGTCCCCTTATGTCAGCCTCAGACCTGAACACACACACACACATAGTCAGTTCTGGCCTTCTTGTGTGTGCTCAATAATTTGACCACAAAAATTTGACTTTTCTCTTTTTTACCCTTCTTTTGATTTCTTTGGGCATAGATTACAGAAAGCCTTGAGGAAAACAGCTTGTTTCCTGGAAAATTGTATAGCATAGTTTCCATTTCTAGAGCTCTTTCCATAGACAATACTCAAGTTATTTCAACTGGAAGAAATATGTTTCTGTGTTCTAAAATGTTTTTGTTGTTTCATCCTGTAGTCTTATGATTGATCTTATTGAAGTTGAGAAGGAGCGCCTTTTAGATGAAGTAAGTTTTCTCTGATTTTGGCCCACTTAGTGAACACTGTAGGTACTTCTTGTATGCCAGAGTCACTGTGACCCACTGCTGTTGCCCACCTACCCAGTGTGAGAATCCTAGCTACTGCTTTGCTATAGGAACACTATTTGCTTCATAAACATCTGACACAGGGTATTGCTTAGTAGTAGTATGCTTGCTTAGCATGCATAAAGCTTTGGGTCAGGAAGTGTAGGTAAGCACAAAATGTAAAACTGGCTTTATTGCAGACAGACTGTGATAGCTTGTAGGCATTAGGGCAGAGCTGTGTAAGAAGCTCACAGTATAGGAATTTTCACTGTAGTGGAGTGAATAGCAGAGATGCATGGTGCTGTTAGTATGTATAGGCACCTGTAAATGAACTAATAATTTGCAGCAAGAAGGCATTGCTTCCAACAAGAAGAGTGATCCATAATGCCACAAAAGTAAAATAAAATGAATACATAAAGGGAAATATACAGTGACTTCCAAAAGATCCAGAGTTGGGTGAGACTTTTGTAAGAAAAGCCGAACTAACCAAATCAGTGCTGGGACTTTGCTGCTCCACAGCAGTGCTCTTCCTCCAGGAGTGCTTGTTCCCCACTCCTACGTGCTTCCGGTACAGCTGTCGGGTGCTAGTCACTGACACCATGGTGAAGAGGATAGCAGGATAGAACGTGTTACGGTTCCTTTTTAACACTGAGTGTTTTGTCGTCTTTGTTTTATGACTTTTATGCTGAAACACCTATGCACTGTTTTATTGATTGATATATAGCAATGAATAAAAACAAGATATCTTGACTTGTTCAATTCTGCTGTTGAGTATTGAGGGATTAGTGATATACTCTGTTGGCCTGTACATTCTATGTGAGTCCATATACAGAAGCCTTGTTAGTGATGGGCAGTACTGGAACACTTGAACTTGTATGTGAGGATAGCACTCATTATGTCGTAAGGGTTTTGTTAGAGCAGGTGTCCAGCCAGCTCTGGCTCTTGGTTAGTGCCACAATGTCAGTGAGCACCTTGAAACATTTTTAGACTGGGTTTAATTAGTTTTTTATTCAAAACACTTTTGCTAAACTTAATCACTTTCTCTTCAGTGGTTCACTCTGGACGAGGTTCCCAAAGGAAAGCTGCATTTGAAGTTAGAGTGGCTCACACTGAAGTCAGATGCGGCAAACCTGGATAAGGTGCTGTGCAGTGTCTTCCTTCATGACCACCCATTCCTGATTATTAGCACCAGTATCTTTGATTGTGTTGGTACTTGTTTAAAAATTCTTTCCCAGTAATTTTAATCATTATGCCACAAGTTATCACAGTAGTAGACAGAAATATGCAATTTATAGGTCATTATTCCTGTTCTGAGACCTTAAAATTTTGTGCTTGCTGTAGCACAGGGATTTGAGGGGCTACATGTCATCCTAGTGCTTCATTTTAATTGATTGTGTGGAATGATAGTCTTGTCATTTGGAAGACATCAGTTCAATTCTTGTTCTGTGTGTATTAGATTATTTCTTACTTTTATTTTCTTGAATACAGTCAAAAACAGTGTGCACTCCTATAGACACACACCCACTGATACTTTTTTTCACCTTGCAGGTGCTGGCAGACATCAGAGCTGATAAGGATCAAGCCAATGATGGTCTTTCATCTGCACTGCTGATCTTATATTTGGATTCTGCAAGGAACCTTCCGGTAGGTAGTATAGAGCTAACGCCTGTGAGTGCTTTCCTTACTTAGAAACTACTACTTTGTTCAGACATGATCTATCACCTGATCTTGAGTGGCAGCAGCAGAGAGGCACAGGTAGCATTTACTTTGCACGTGTGTATATTTATATCTAATTATTACAGCCTAGTTACCACAAGGTGAAAATTGTCTCTTCTTAGAAAGGGGACTAAATGAAGCAGCTCTGTTCACAAACCCACAATGTGTCTTAGCTGTAGAACAGCAGGTCATGAGCTGCTGAGTTGTGACTGTCCTCAGGCTTTAAGGTGGAGCATGACTGATGCCACCAGGTAGGTATACTGACCTTCAGGTACCGAACAAAGACACAAACGGTGCCAAGTAATAATGTTTAGCCTAAAAACCTATTTATTCGCTTGTTTTGGTTTCATGGGGGAACGTATCAAGTAATCCGATCATTTAGGGATAGCCCTAAATCTTACACTGTCCTGCTGCCAACCCCACTAGTTAAAGTTATGTTCTCATATAAATGGTACATTGTTAGAAAACTTTTTGGCTGCCAGTGTGCTTGCATACTAGGGCATTCTCTTTGTCATTGTGTCAATAGCCAGTGTCGTTGAAAGAAAGTTCATTGTCAACAGTTATAGGGTTTTACCCACCAAGATTGTCCATTGCATAATTCTCCCTTCCTAGTAAATGCTCATCACACAAGTGCATTTGTGAATAGGCTCCAAACAAAAGCAAAGAAGCACTTTGCTTGCCCTTATCCTCAGTCTCTCTTGAACTTTTATCCTGATGGCTTATGAATTTGCATCATTTAGCACCTTTTAGATTTTGAAAATTGTATATTTTCTTGAGCCTTGTGAACAAAAATGAAATAAATGTTCTTTGTACATTAATATTTTTTTTCAACCTAACAACTGAAATAGTTTTGAGCATTTTGTAATAGGAATATATAGTTGTCTCTTTGCCAATACCATACCCTTTCTTTTAGTGAAGTTTCCTTGTCTAATTTTTACTACTTAAGTTCTTACATTTCTATTGAAGACCTTAATCTTTTGACCAGTCTTTCCACCTAAAGTCTGTGAGTTCACCTAGTTTTATTTCAATTTGGGAATATTTACTTCATTATTATTTAGCCTTTCAATAGAATTCCTTACACAGTAGAGGTTTCTGCTTTTAGCCACAATAAAGTTTGTTATAAAATGCCTGATTGTGTATAAAAGGTACTTGCTGCCAAGCCTGGCCACCTATGTTCAATACCCAAAACACACATGATGGGCGGCAAGAGCTTTGGGTTGTCATTTGACTTCCACTTGCATGCCCTGGGAATTCCCATACTCCAAATAAATGTAAAATAAAATTTAAAAAGTGAGTTTGTTGCATAGTTTAGATATAGAAAATAGTGGTGGATTAAGTGGGAAGGGCTTGGGCTTTTCTGTAGAGCTATGTTGGATGTCACTGCTCCTCTATCCAAGGGTACTTTACTCACAGTGTGCTGTGGCTCATCAGAGGCAAAGGGTCCACAGAGCCATCTCTGCTTTTTGTTGTTAATTGGGAGGCTTTGTTGGCCATCCCTGTGTATTCTGGGGCCCTTTGACTCTCTGCACCCTGTTTTTTTGTGCTTCTGGTGTGTACCCACTGACCACAACCCACCATTCTTTGCTTTCTCTTCCTGTCTCCACTTTCCTAAGAGTATCTACGAGGGAAACTTTGGGTGTGGCTACTTAAAAGAGAGGCGAGCGTCGGGACTAGTGTTTTGTGAGAATACTACCTCAGTCTATAGAACACTATTTGTGAGTCCTCCAGCTCCTTCTTCTGTGTTCAGTGAAGACTGCCCAAGTGTGGCCTGGAATTTCTGTGCAGTCTGCTCATTGGAATGACGTGCATGCTCTTTTCATTTTCTTGCATGACTTCAATTACTGTGTCTTCATTTTATGTTGGTTTTGTCAAATGTGACTCTGCTGTGATGTTGGGAGTACATCTGACATGAGATGAACTAACCTGAACTAACTCTACTGCTGTTGCTCCATAAAGTGTTAGAATAAGTCCTCTGAGGGAAAAACAAAGCTAAAAGCTAAAGTTGATTTTGGGGTTCATGCGCTAACTTTCACAAAACACTCCTAAATCTGCTTTTTTCGTTCTCACCAAGGGGAGCAGCATTAGAACTTGGGCTGTCTTCCAGTCCATTCCACCCAGTTCTCTCTGTTACTGCTCATGGTCACATGAAGTCACAAGTCCACCCATCTCTGTGAGAGCCTGCTTCTGCCACATGGCCTAGCCAGAGCCTCTGGAGGAGAAGAAGAAAATGAGAGTGGGTTCATGGTTTATTTCTTTCTAGGAATTTGAAAAGAGTTTACTGAAGTATATAATTGAGGATTTTATTTTAATCTCATCACATTTGCTCCCATAGCCTGTCTGGTGCTTCTAACTCCTAGTGCTATTCAGGGTAATCTGGTGGCTGTTGGGTTCATCTCCTCTGGGGTCGTAGAGAACTACACTTAAGACCTTCTAGTCTACTAATTAGTGTAGAAAATCACCTTTCTGGTTTGTTCTAGAATTAGTTAGATTTCTGAAGACCACTTATCCTTTGATCTGATAGTGAGCGAGCGGTCTTTGCTCTTTTGAGTTTCTGGTTCTGTTTACAAAGGCTTTCCACATGTGTGCTCAGTTATTCTTACTTCTAAGAAGGGGCTCTAGGCTACCATACTTTTAAAATAGGTGTTTAGCCCTATTTGATACAATACACTAGTAAATAGGCAGCACCTTGATGTCCCCAACTGTGCACTCAGCCTGTGGTTTGGAGGGTGTCCCCTTTCACCCTTGCATTGTAGAGGTGAAGGCGGGAACATTTCTTATTTTAGTCTTTTGCCACCTCAAAAACAGAAGTCAAAAGGAAGGCAGTTAGAATGACAATGCCAGTGTATACTATCAGTTTAGAAAAATGCTTTATGCATTTGTTTCTTAGGTAAAATGTCCTCACCAGCTCATAAGTGACAAGGCCACCCTTCTGGGTGATTCTGTCAATCTATCTCCTGTAACTTTTCTAGGTCTTTTTTCTCAATCTACAACTGCTTCCTTTCATAGAAAATATTTTGGAGTCGGATTCTTGAGTTGCCTTGTATTTCTGACATCAGTGGTCAGACTCAGAATTCATTCTCTTCATTGTCCAAGTGACATTGAGCTTTATGATTAGGATATGCATACCACAAAAAAATGTTCTTTACAGAACATGTATGCACTTACTTTTTACTTACTGATTTCCAGTATAAAATGAAATCACTTTCTCAGTCTTTTCCTACAGGAAAAGCTTTTTCATAAGTAGCTGCAGCCTATAGCTTTTTCACTTCTAACCTGTTCAGAGCACCTTCAGTTTCCACTCCATTGTTGTGCTCTGTATTGCAGATGATTTCTTTTTAAAGTAGACCCAGAATTCACCCTCTCTGGCTTCCGCTTGGCTGTGTCCTCTGACTTTGGCACACAGCATTAGAATGTTAGCCTTACTTGGTAACTCATGTGTGTTGAGCACTTTGCAGCAGCCATATATGCATTTCACAGATTAGAAAAGTAACGCGAAGGACATAAGACTAGAGATCTGAGACCTCGTCGCTGTACAGTGTTCACTGCTCAGACTCTGTTAATTCTGTAACTGGAGATGATATGAGATGAGTGGTGTTTCCATGGTGCTTACCTTACGTGTGAGAACATAGCCATGTAATAGCTACCGCTGCGCAGATCTTTAGGGACAAAGGTACTTTCTATGGGTAATTTTAGGTTTTGTTTGTTTGAGACAGGGTCTCATATATTCCAGTCTATCCTAAAACACTTTATATTATAACCACTGAATTTATGATCATCCCACCTCCCCCTTGCAAGTGCTGGGATCATAGGTAGGGACCACAGTTCCAAGTTTATGAGGTGCTGGGGTCTGGACCCAGAGCTTCCTATGTGCTAGGCAAACACTCTCAAGTGACCTATATCCCCAGTGCATGGTTTGTGGTGAGGGAAAAAAAAGGACAGGTGCAGGACAGGTGCTACTGTCTCCAGTGATTGAGAGGCCCAGGAGTACATGGCATGTGGTGCTTGACTGCAGAACCTTACACCTGGACACCTGCCCCGTGTACTTCAGTGACTAGTCTTCTCACCTGCGTGCTATGCAGGCTTGTGACCTCACACCGCTGTTCTTGCATTCCTGATTCTCTTTGTTTCTCAATAATTGATGTTAGAATAACAAGTGCATCGGTTCAGCTGTTTGTATCCACTGTGCACTTCATCTAGAGAGTGTATCATTCGGGCTCCCTCTGACCCAAAATGCATTGTTGGAACTCCTTAGGGAATGCTTTGGGCTTCATCCAAAGATAAAGGAAGAAGGGTCTGAGTCTTTGGAGAGCCCTGTAGGCTGTTTGAATAGTCTAAATTTAGACCCATGTAGTTTGGCAAGAGCCTGGGTTGGAGCTTTTACCTTCTCATCTGCTTCCTACTGTAGGAGACCTGGAAGCTATTTCTCCATCTTCATTCATACATTTTCTGTTTAATAAGACGTTAAGAAAAATTTTTAATTGAGGATCAAATTCAGTATACCAATTTCAAAATAGTTAAAACTAAAAAGACAAAAACTTTTAACCTCAAAAGTTTATTCTGGGAGCTTCCAAAAACAAATTGTCTATTTGAGAATGAGCAAACAACTAACTGAAAAAATTCAGTCAGAAAGACACGTACCCTATAATAGTAGAGTATGTATTTAAGTCCAGGAGAAACTCTTAAGATGGCTCTATTGGCCTGTGCTTCCATACCTGGGAAAGATGGGGAGTCCAGGGAGTTTGTAAAGAAATAGGCTACATCTCTGGATGATGCTGTAAGCAAGAAAGCATGTCTCAGCAGGCATCGCAGTGGTGTGGGCCGCTGCTGATGGGACTAGCTCCAGCAGTGTGGAAAGAAAGCATGGTCACTGCTGTGCTTCAGATTAAACCTCTGATTTGGGGTGACACTAGGGTTTCAGGCAAAGGGTAGTAAGCAGAGCCTTTCCTAAGTCATACTCTTGATTTCTGCAAACACTGAAAGTCAGAGGTGAAGAAGTGAAGGGTTACCAAAGATGAGGAAATGTGTCATGATATTTTAGATTATCTGTTACTCTGAGGTAAAATCTTGAGCATAAAGGCAAATTTGGCAGTTTGTATGATTTTTGGTCTGATTTAAGTATTTGTTTATTCTCATGAACTTTTGTGTCATTAACCTTACATAAATTCCTCATTGCATGTTTTATTAACCCTTGGTGTATTCATTTTCTTCTGACCTGAAAGAATAACCCATTACACTTTAACCCCGGTGTTTTGAAGAAGTCTGCAGTTCAGAGAGCTTTAAAGGTAAACAAAGTGTCTCCTTGAGGCTGCAGTGTTAATCAAGACATATTGAAAGAGATGGTACTTTGGCTTTCCTAAGTGTGTGGGCAGGTCACTTCCCACCCTAGCTAATAATTAACTGTCCAGTAGAGGATATCTGACTTTTGTTATCCAAGAATTTGTTTTTAGAAGAAATTGCATCAACCAAACTTAAATTTTAAAGTTCCAATATGAAGTTTGAGATTTTCATTCTTTCTCTTAACAGTCATTGACATATTGTGTTTTGTTTGAACTTATGAATGACAATCTGAAAGTTTTATTTAAAATGTTGGCCAGAACTTCATATTGTGATTTAAAGATATGCCTTGCAAACTGATGAGTGCACACTTAAGGAATTGCCTCTTCCAATATGTTGAGTAGGGCCTCACTGAATCAACCTCATGGCTTTGGTGCTGTGGGTTTGGGTGACAGATCTTTCCAAAAGGTTCAGATTTCATCAATGAGGTCTATTGAAAACTAAGCTCCACTTCTTATCCACGACAATAGCTTGTGTTCTGTGGCTAAATTGTTATGCTTTGTTTCTTAACTAATTTTAATTACATTGAGAGGCAGGGGCTTTTTAAATACAATAGTCTTAAGAAAATTCAAAAAAAGGAATATTTTAATCAGTTTTATCTAGCAAAATAAGTTAATTCAAAAATGGAGGAGATTGACAGTGACTTGTCTGATATCATATTTGTAAACCTTACTCCGACCTGTACTAAAGAGCTGTGGTGTAGTGTCAGTAGGGCATCACACCCTGAGAATGCTGGTCCTCACACGCTGGAACAACTATGCCTTCTAGCATAGCTTGGCCATAAAAGCTTATGAAAAGACCTCTAGCTACACTCTTTGCTCACCATCTCCTGCTGTCCTGGTGGCCAGAGGTCAGGAAGGAAGGCTCTGAAGTCATATTGCTCATTATTGTGATTCAAAGATGATGTTTAACCCATCCTGCTTACAGGATGGAAGTAATATCTTCTCCATTGGAGTAGTAAATAAGTTAAAATATTACATATAAAAATACACACTAGATAGGTAAATAGATTGCTATAATTATCTCATTAATGCATTAGCCCATATAAGCCTAACAACAAATTTTAAAAATGGTATTTTTAAAATATTAAAATTTTAAAATTTTTAAAAATGGTATATTTAATATATGTCTCTTTTAGAGACATGGAACCTGAGGCTCAGATAGATGGAACATAGGTCTCAGTAGTCAAGAGTTAAGGAGAATGAAATTTAAATTCATCAGTGTAAGATTATGTTTTACGCATCATTTCTATAGTTCATTAAATTCAATAGTGTGACCTAAAAGACTATATTTTATCATATATTTTATCACACAATAGTGTGACTTAAAAGACTATATTTTGTCATAGTTTGTACCCTTGATGTGTGGTGCTATAATTTAAATGTCTGTCATGATAGAAAACTTAGTGAATGATTTTAAAACCTTATTTATGTAATCTAAAATATCATCTGTGTAAGGCACACCCTTATTTTATAAACCACTAAAAAATTATAAAAGTGCCAGCTAAGCTTTGATTTATATTTATTGAAATTTTAGACTTGAAATAAATAGATTTTAGGTGTTATTCAGATACATCCATACATGCATAAATTAATTAAGACAGTGACAACTGAAATTGTTCAGAAGCAGTTATAAACTTCACTCTATTTTTAAAAATATTAGAAAAGCCAGGCAGTGATGGTACACACCTTTAATCCCAGCACTCAGAAGGCAGAGGCAGGAGGATCTCTGTGAGTTCAAGGCCAACATGATCTACAAGAGCTAGTTCCAGGGCAGGCAATAAAGTGACACAGAGAAACCATGTCTCAAAAAACCAAAAAAAAAAAGAAAAAGAGAAAAAAAGAAAGAAAAAGAAAGAAAGAGAAAAAGATAAAGGAAAAGAAAAGAAAGAAGACACCTTAAAAATACAGATGCATTAAATCCTTAAAACTCAATGGCCTTATTTTCACAGATACACACTTAATATTAGTCAGAAATAAACTCAGCTCCTATATCAAAGCCTCAAAGTAAATGTGGTTAAATCAGTGTGATTTCATGACCTACAACTAGCACAGACCTCATAGGTAATGGGGAAGACGTGCATTCCTTGAACGTCAGTGTCTTAGCTAGCCAGAAGGGAGAGGTGGAGGTGACATCCTATTCCCAGAGGATTTATGCTCAGCTCAGATTTAGGACTCCCAATATCTAAGAAGGAAATGAGTTTAGGAAAAAATCTTTTGGCTTTGATATTTTTAACGGTATTTATTTCATTTTGCAGAATTCATTTACATCAAACTGATGAACCAGAAAATAGATTATCACAGTAGGTTTGGGTTAGTCATATTTTTTGAATAATCAAATGATTTGACACCTATTTCTGTCATTGCTGTAGTGTTGAGGATTGACTCTAAAATTATTAACGAAAATACTTTTTTGTGACCCTCTAATTAATTTACATTAACACATTTAATACATCTTTTTGTGGGGCTAAGTTATAAATAAACCTCATGTCACAGATCTGTTGTGTTTTACTGTGTTTTCTTCTATCAGCTGTCTGCTAAAGTTTGCTTCTTGTCATTTTTTTCTTACTTATGAATTATTTAAATCATATTTATATTTGCTTAATTCCATGCAATTCTAAACTGACATTTATTCTTCTGGTGATAATTACTTAGCAGCCGGTAAGCAATGTCCAATATCTGATAACTGTGTTTACTTTAACAGAGGATGGTGGTAGGTTCTAGGTGTGCAGCTATGCATCTGAAGCCAATGCTTTATACTATAGCTAAGGAAGTGTTCTGAGTGAACATTCCTTTACATTTGTCTTCTTTTTTGTTTACTTATATTCATTGCACCTGGATTTTATTATCCTAATAAGTCAGTTGTGAGAGCTGTAGTTAATAATAAAATTTTATATTTTAAATAAGATTGCATTTTCCAAAGTAACTTACTTTTAAAGTAAAAAATTAGACATTTCAAACTTGTGTGTAGCCAGAAACACACAAGTATAGGACTTATACTATAGTCACAGCTACTTTGAAGATTTCAGTGGGAAAATCACGCATGCCACAGAGTTGCATATTAGCCAAGCAGTATTGCCAGACCCTGTCTCTCAGGAAAAAGTATATGAATGGAAGTTTTCTCAGTTTGTTTCATGGTGGAAACAGTGAATAATGATGGCTCAAGGTTTGCTTAGCAGTTGTTTTCTACTTTAATTGTTCTTTGATGTTCCTGTGTCTAAAGTATCAGTGGTAAAATAGAAATGACTCCTGATATCAAGCATAAATTCATTCTTAAAGGGACCCATATTTTACTTAATTTATCTGTTGTTTTTTTTGTTTTGTTTTGTTTTGTTTTGCTTTTTTTTTTTTTTTTTTTGGATAGTCAGGGAAGAAAATAAACAGCAACCCAAATCCTCTTGTCCAGATGTCGGTCGGTCACAAGGCTCAAGAGAGTAAGGTAAGAGAGCCTCTACATAGCCATGCTGTACTGGTCACTCTCCCCGGGAGGTGGTGTCCAGGTGTGTGATGTGTACAACATGAGACCATTGTTTCTTATCAAACAGCCATTTCATACATACTAGCTGCTTAAGTTATTGACAGATACATTGTTTATTTTTAAATAACATAAAATAATACCTTACAGATATGCTTTTGTTTGATTTTTGGGGAGAAATTCGGAATTACTTCCCAAGCTTCTTTTAAGTACTTAGTAATTATTTAGTTAGCACGTTGTACTTCAGATTCCGCAAACAAACGCTCAAGAGTTCAAAGTAGGTAGTGTTGTGTGTTCTTCTTTTCTGATCAGGAATAAAAGTTCAGAAATTACAGTTTTAGGCCACTGTTAAATTTTAATTGTTAACCCTTTAAGAAGTAGGGCTCTGTGTTACTGTGTCAGGCACCAAGAATGCAGAAGTTGAGGACAGTAGAGCAAAAGAGGCTTTGGTCTCTGGACAGCAGGCATGGGTTCTGCGTCACCTCCTGTTCTGGGTGCACCGCCGACAGCTTGTTTTACTTTCTGAACATTTCCACGCTTCCTAAGTCCATTACTCATAATGATGTAATCAGCCTGTGCTGGTGTATGCACTCATAAGTAAGCAGTGAGTCAATAGTCCTCCATAGCAAACACTGAAGAGTTGATGTGAGACCATTTCTTACAGATTCGATACAAAACGAGTGAGCCAGTGTGGGAGGAAAACTTCACTTTCTTCATTCACAACCCCAAGCGCCAGGACCTTGAAGTTGAGGTATTTTATTGCATTCTCTGCCTATAGTTTGAAATATGATTGATACAAATTATGCTTATTTACAGTTTCCAATTGAGTACATAGTGTCCTGGGACCCACCACTACAGTCAAGATAAGAAATTTTTTGGTTCTCTCTGACTCACAAGTCTCCCAAACCCGTCTTTATGTTTACGTTTATGTCACGTTAATCTTCGTCTGTACTATCAGGGAAAGGTCATGAATCTTTTTTCTTAATATTTAGCTATATAACTGTTCAGCACATTGTTAAAAATTACTCTTTCCTATGTATTGAGGTTAGTGACTATCAAAATTTAGGGCCAGTATGCAGTCTGCTTATGGAGTGCTTTCCACCCCAGGTTCTGTCCTAACAAAATGCTAGCCTCGCTGTCTCTGTTACTGCTATTGAATGACTACATTTTAAAACCAACTTCTGTAAGCCCTCAAATTTATTTTTCACTATTGTTTTGACTAATTCTGAATCTACATTTCACATGAATTTTAGTGCCAACCATAGCTTTACACAGAGAACCATTAATTTTGAAAAGAACTCCACTACCATCTTCATAACAGGAAACGTTCCAATCCATAGAAACATTGCATTGCTTTTTCTTTCCCCTTGGGTAGTCTTTAATTTCTCTCAGCAGTGCTGTATAGTTTTCTGTGTTTGGTGTAGTTCTTTTATGTATGTCAGACTTTTCCCTAAACATTTAGTAATTCTTTATGGTGTTGTAAGTGATCTTACTTTATTTCCCTACTTGTAATTGAAAACGGAGCCTTGGTATTTTTGACTTTTTTACTAATGTATATGAAGGTGTCTTCATATACCTTGTATATATATGTATACAAGGTGTGTATATATATATATATATACAAGGTGTATATACCTTGTAGTGTATTCCTGTAATCCCAGTATTTAGGAAGCCAAGGCAGGAGATTCATAAATTCAAGACTAGTCTGGCTTACCTAGTAGCAAGATCCTGCCTCAAAACAGAACAAACAAGACAACCAGTAGGAGACAAATGAAATAAAACAATCATTAAAGTGCTTGTTACATGGGCAACCTTGGGATATGAAAGCCAGGCATGGTGACACTAGTTTATAATCCTGGCTCTAGGGGGAAGGAGACCAGTAGATCCTGGGAACTCACTGCCAGCTAGCCTGGTCTCCTCAGCAGGTTCAAGACCAGCTGAGAGACACATTCCAGAGGAAGACAGAGAATGAGAGTGCGTAGTTGATTGTTATATATGGATATGATCTCATACAACTCCACTAAAAATGGCTTGCTTTTTTTAATTGTATTTGCTTGTGGGAGGGGGTAGTGGATTTTATCACAAGGCCTTGAATTTATGATTCTACTGCTTGGCCAGTTTATTGCTAAGATTATAGGTGTATGCCACCGTGTCAGACCTGCTTACTTGTTCCACTAGATACCTTAGGATTTTATGTGTGGGATGGAAGTCATGTTATCTTCTAGTATTGACACTTTTCATAACAATCCTGATGCTTTTGTTTCTTGGCTGGCCTCCCTGTTCAGCCAGCTTTACTCTGCCAAAGTATCCTCTGAGTCTGGTCTCCCATACAGAGATTTTTCTCCTCCTAGTTTGCTTCGTCATCATGAGTCGGTGCTGGCTTTCACTGAAGGCTTTTCTACATATGTCGAGATAACATATGGTTTTTCAACTGTAAATACAGTGAGATACATTGTTGATTTTCAGGTGTTAAATATTGCAAACTTTTATTTGTTTTTCCACATGTAATACTTGGATATCCTGAACACAATATTTTATCTGGGGGTAAGTCCCTCTTAGTTGTGATCATTTTTACATATATTAATTCTTGCTTCTTGGGCCTGGAGATTTGGCTGGAATCTCTCGTAGCAGACCTGAATTCTATTCCTAGCACTCTCATGGCAGCTCACAACTGCCTATAATATGAGTTCCAGGGGATCTGATGCCCTCGTTTGGACTCTGAAGGCTCTTGCACACACATAATGCACACAAACTCACTCAAGTACACACACATAAAAATTTAGTAAATAAGTAAGAAAAAAAGAAAACCATTCTTACTTCTTACTCATGAAGGTTTATGATCTGTAATTTTGCTTTCTTTTAATATTTTTTTCCTATTTTGATGTCAAGATAATGATAGCCTCCTGAGTGAGTTAGGGAGCATGTGAGTATTCTGGAAGAGTCTGTACAGAATTGTTTTGTGTTTTCCCTTATATAGCTTGCATTTTTCATTTTGAGAAGGTATTTCCATGCAAACTTTTTTTTTTTTTTTTTTGGTTTTTCGAGACAGGGTTTCTCTGTGGCTTTGGAGCCTGTCCTGGAACTAGCTCTGTAGACCAGGCTGGTCTCGAACTCACAGAGATCCGCCTGCCTCTGCCTTCCGAGTGCTGGGATTAAAGGCGTGCGCCACCATCGCCCGGCTTTACATGCAAACTTAATTCTATCAGTAGCTATTGATCTATCTAGGTCAGCTATTTCTTCTTTATAAACTGTGGTATTTATGTCTTTCAAGGAGTTTGTTCATTTTGTCCAGAGTTTGTTCTTTCTTTGATCAAACTATTTTGAACAACTACATGATGGGAATAGTTCTTATAACAGAGGCAATGCTGAAGATTAATTATTCATGAGGAAGAAGTACCATGTATTTAAAGGAGATGCTGTAAGCTTTCAAAGCAGCCACGTAGACTTTGAACAGAGAACGCGTTAAAGACACTTAAAATGCATTTTCTCCATGAATAAGTGTCTCCTGTAGAAACTCACCTTTCTGTCAGTGTATACTGTATGATTTCAGTATTTAAAAGATATTTCCTTCTGACCTTTAGATTTGTATAGAGTATTACTTCTCTTCGTTCTTGCTTTGTTTTGGTTTTGGTTTTGGTTTTGGTTTTTTGAGACAGGGTTTCTCTGTAGCTTTGGAGCCTGTCCTGGAACTAGCTCTTTTAGACCAGGCTGGCCTCAAACTCACAGAGATCCAAGTACTGGGACTAAACTCATGTGCCCCCACTGCCTGGCTTGTATAGAGCATGTGAGTATTCTGGAATTACTTTTTGTATTTTTTAAGAGACTTATTATGTATATGAGTGTTTTGCTTGCATGAATGTCTATGTACTTTGTGCCTGGTGTCTGTGGAGGTTAGGACTGGTCATTGACTTCCCCAGAACTGAATTATTGATGGTTATATGCTGGGAATCAAATGTGGGCCCTTTGCAGAAGCAAATGCTCAACTGCTGGACTATTTCTCCAGCCCTAGACTAATTCTTATCTGAAGTTTGTTTTTTATCTCAGATTTGTTTTTGTTTTTGAGATAGAGTTTCTCTGTGTAGCACTGGCTGTTCTAGAGCTCTCTTTCTATAGACCAGGATAGCCTAGAACTTAGCAGAGATCCACCTGCTTCTGCTTCCTGAGTGCTGGAATTAAAGGTATGGGCCACCATCCAGCTCTCACAGTAGATTTATAAAATAAGATGTCCTTTGTTGTGCTCATGGTTTTATAATGAAAAAAGGGCAGGTACATCTGACAGAAATACCTGTATTTTCCTGAGACACACTGCTTTAAACATACAGATGAAATGTGTTATGTTTTGTTTTGTGCTGGTATGTTTTTAAAGTCAATCTGTGGACCTTGCTACATCTCCTGTGGTTCCTGTTGTTTTCCTTGGAGCTCTGTGTTTTCTGCTCTGCATCTTTCAGGTCAAAGATGAGCAGCATCAGTGTTCTCTGGGGAGCCTGAGGATCCCTCTCAGTCAGCTGCTTATGAGTGACAACATGACCATAAACCAGCGGTTCCAGCTCAGCAACTCGGGTCCAAACAGCACCTTAAAAATGAAGATTGCCCTCCGGGTACTGCATACTTTTTAGCAGGACTCCATAGTGGGAGGGAAGGAAGCAGCTTCAGCTCAGTCCCAGTGTGGCAGTGCTACCAAAGGCATAGGTCAGGTGGCATGATAGAGCATGCTGACAGTTTGAGGGGGACAGAAACTGTCATAGAGTTATGGAGTCCAATCTAGATCCATTCCAAACAAACCCTTTATTTCCGGATTCATTGACAGGCCACGGTATGTTTATTCCAATGGAGTTTGCTCCTTAACCTTGAATATTCAAAGGTTGTTCAGAAGGCAGCTTGATAAACTCTTATAGAAGGCAGAATTTACAGGAATAAAAGCTGGTTTGTCCACAATAAGAATACCTGAGTAGATATTGATAATAAATGCTTAAACATACAGGAAATGTAATTAAAGTATTCATGCTGAGAGCTGCTCAAGCCTGAGAGCCTGAATGCAGTCACTGAATCCACAGGATTGTCCTCTGCCCTTGGCGTACATGCCAGGGTACACATACCCATCTAAAAACAAACAAAATTATATAGACATTATAATAAAGAGCCAACTTTCTGTCTCAGTGCTGGGGTTTGAACCCACAGTTTTACATATGCTAGGCCAACGTTTACCACTCAACTATACGCCAGCCCTAAGAATGAGTTTTTGCTTTTTGTTTTTGTTTTTTAATTAAAATAGTCTGCTCAGGGTCCAGTGTCGCACATATCAAGATGCAGCACAACCATATAGTGGCAGAGTAGTTGCAGCATCACCTGTCTGCCACCTCATGAGCTCCTGGTTACTGTGTAAACTGTGGGGAGTCTGTGAAATGAAAGTGTTTGTGATAGCTTTGGTTAATACAACCAGAGACAGTCAGTAACTCCAGAGTGTCCTGTAGAGTATAGCCCTGGCTTACACAGTACCATCCCCAGTGTGCAGGAGGATGTGGCTGTCCTTTTACTACGGTATTACGCTTGGTTGCTTGAGAGATCCTTCTGGATAGCACAGTATCTTGGCATTTTTTTCTTTGTCTGGGAGTCTGGTGTAAACCACCTGAAAGAATAGGATATTTCATCTTTTTCCAAGGAGACATGGCTTTCTGGGTGATCTCGTGGAAGCCTTGTGCTATAATTAGAATATGTTCAAATGGAAGAGATTAGAAGATACAGAAAAGGTATTTTTTATTGCAAAAGTAGAGTAGTTTTAATTGCTTAAAATTTATCTTTTTAAAAATTGTTTGTTTTGTATTTTGGAGACAGGTTGGCACTGGTTGTCCTTGAATTCTCTATGTAGACCAGGATAGCTTCAAACTGTCAGAGCTCTGCCTGCCTCTGCCTTGCAGGTGCTGGGATTAAAGGCGTGCACCACCATGCCTTTACAAAATTTGCTTTTGTAATTCTCTGTAATACACTATTTTAATAACTGCATAGCTGAATAGATTAGCTGAATCTTAAACATTTGCAAATGAATACATCTAAAGCCACTCATGTATCCAGATGTCACCGCTGTCACTGGTTTCCCCCTAGGTCCTCCATCTTGAGAAGCAAGAAAGACCTCCAGACTACCAGCATTCGGCTCAAGTGAAACGGCCCTCTGTCTCCAAAGAAGGGAGAAAAATGCCTGTGAAATCTCAGAAGTCTGTGTCTCCAAGCACTGGTGATAGCAACACTGCTCCATCAACACCAGTCCTGGGAGTCGATGATAAGCCTGTCAGGGAGGAGAAGCCTCAGCCCCCTGAGGCCAGCCCTCTAGGGCAGCGTGACCTAGGCAGGAGCTCCTCCAGCCTCTTGGCCTCTCCAAGCCACATCTCAGCCAAGGAGCCCACCCCAAGCATTGCCTCAGACATATCATTGCCCATTGCCACCCAGGAACTGAGGCAAAGGCTACGTCAACTTGAAAAGTAACTAATGCTCACATCATTGTTTATCATAGTTTTCATCCCATACACCACAGGGAGGAGAGAATTTGATTGTGCTATTTTGCTCACTAGTCTTTGACTTTCACAATAAAACTTGCTGCTTAGGAGTTGGATATGTTAGGAGAGGAGAAGTGGAATAAGAGGTTTTGCAGGTAGGAGAGGCAAGAGACGTAAGCTGTGTGGCACCATATACTCAGTTCACTCCAGGGACAGACTCCTGCATGGAGAGTCACCAATGTGCCGAACGTTGTATCACCTGTCTTCTCTTCATTACCACCAAGTCCCCACTGGCTTCTTTAGATGTTTGCCATTTATAGGTAGCACTGATGAATAAGGAAGAAAAAGTTACTATAAGCATCAGACATTACTGTCTACTGTGGTAAACATAAAAATCAACCTTTGAAACTTGCTTTTCTTGTGTCCTAAGAGGTGTGTCCACTTAGAAGGAAATAATCAAAGCAGAGGCTATGGTGAGAAAAGTACAGAAGGACGCAGCATTTGCCATGTCTCTGAGGCTCCTCTGACCTGTGCTCATCTTTGGTTTTCATACTTCCTCACATGAGTCATTTTGGAAGAAAGGGAGTCAGCTTCAGGTTGGGGTGTAGTGCGGTAATAGGACACTTGCCTAGCAGCAGGCTGAGTTTCAGCCACGGGGTTGAAGTTTGTCCTGGGGAGAGCTCTGTCTCCTCTGTTCCTTGAGTGCTCACTGGAAAACTATCAGTTTTGAATAATTAAGGAATCCCGAACCGTCAAGTGAAATAATTTAAATTTGGTATATATTCAGAAGTTCCTGGGTAATTAATTCCCATTTGTCTAGATGAATGGACATTACATTCCTGTATAGATGATATACTCTTTTGTGTTGGGGCAGAGCTGCTGACATTCTGTTGTTTCCACAGCGGGACAACACTGGGACAGTCTCCCCTGGGGCAGATCCAGCTGACCATCCGGCACAGCTCCCAGAGGAATAAGCTCATTGTGGTTGTGCACTCCTGCAGGTGAGGCTGACCGCTACTGCCACTGGCTGGTTATGTTCTGTCTTATGTGATTGCCCCCTCCCCATATCAACAGGAGTTTAAAATATAAATATTTCTAGCTTATACAAAGTCTTTTTAAAACATAGGTGAATAGAATTGGTGACACTGACAAACAAGATTCTGAAAATGTAGATTTAGCTCAGAGAGGACTTGTGTTCTGGTTCCCGAGATAATGACTGCAGAGGGTCTGCGGCTGTGAGTAAATGAATGGCTCATGCTCACTGTCCTGTAGAAAGAGTAGGGGACAGTATCGTGGAGAAGGCCAACCACTGAAGGTCATATTGACAGAGGCCAAGTTTGCCCCACAGGGCCTTTGTTCATGTTTCCTGTGGGTAACACAGGAGAAGTCTGGGAGAAGGTGAGACGGTAGGTATGTGAAAAGCGTAGAGCAAGGGCGGTGAATGCCTGCCCACACTCTAGGCTTAGGTAGTCGAGCCAAAAGTCACTCTGGCAAAACTGCTAAAAGGGACATTTAAAAGTGATGGTATAGAACCACATATAGGGGAAGTCTGATGTGTGTTGCTCGTTGGAGTTGAGATCATATGAAATAAAAGCTTGATAAAGTAATTCAGATATTATAGAATTCTTTTTTAAAAATTCTAATATTTAGTCTTCTCTGATTTGTGTTTTAAGAAACCTCATTGCCTTCTCAGAAGATGGTTCTGATCCATATGTCCGTATGTATTTATTGCCAGACAAGAGGAGATCAGGAAGAAGAAAAACACATGTGTCAAAGAAGACACTAAACCCTGTGTTCGATCAGAGGTACAGTAGATACTTCTTTTAGCTAAGAAGCTACCTGGATGAAATGACAGGCGGTTAGGGCAGTCCTGAGTGACAAGGCCTGTGAACCTAATGCACTGTTGAGAAACAGGGTACTCTAGCACAGTCCAGCACATGGTGCTTGTTAAATAACCTTTGAGCAGAGGTGTTAAACATAATATATCCGAGTTATAAAGGTGCACAGGGACATGGATGGTTAAAAGTCAAATTTTTGTTTTATTTTGTTTTTATGCTTTTTGAGACAGGGTTTCTCTGTGTGGCCCTGACTGTCCTGGAACTCACTCTGTAGACCAAGCAGGCCTAGAACTCACAGAGATCCTCCTGCCTCTGCCTCCTGAGTGTTGGGGTTAAAGACGTGCACCACCACCTCTCAGCTAAAGGTCAAATTATTGACGACTCTGAAGCACTTTGATTTAGTGGGTAACATATATTGATACTAAATTTCAAATTAAACAATTTAAATTTATATTTAAAATTTTTATAGTATAATAACATAAAATACACATTTTTGAGAAAAGCTCTATTTTTCTAAAACAATATAATGTTGCAAATCATAAGTGGTCACCTTAATAGAAGCTGCCTTTGTGTGGCTAGTAGCCAGTCTAATGGACCAAGTTGCTGGTGGGTACTTGGATCCTTGGATTACCAGTCTGTAAAATCTGCCCCACCTCATAGTTCTCTGACAATTTAGCATCTGCTAGTTTTGAGAAAATAATAGAGCTGAATAGCATCAGTATTTGTTGACTCAGTTTTGTTTCTTCTTTAAACGTACCTCTCCCTCACTGTTTTCATGCTGTAACTTTATTTTGAACTAAAGTCAGCTAGGTGAACACCAAAAAGGAAACTCAATTTTACAAGAAAAAGCTGGTTGGAATGATATCAAAAAAAAAAGAAAAGAAAGAAAGAAAAAGAAAAGAAAGTCATCTTAGTTAAAATACAACAGGATCATAGAAAATTGACATAAGATATCTGTTTCCATTGCAGCTTCGATTTCAGTGTTTCACTGCCTGAGGTGCAAAGGAGAACACTGGACGTAGCAGTGAAGAACAGTGGTGGCTTCCTGTCCAAAGATAAAGGGCTTCTTGGCAAAGTAATTTCTTAGAAGTTCTTGTATCCTACACATTGTAAAATGAAACATTTTCCTATAGTGCAGTTTAGATTATAGCTTGCATAAGTGGGAAGGAGGGAAGCTCATCCTGTAATGAATGCTTGTTTCTCAAATTATGCTAAGACATTAGTACATAGCTGTTTTCATGCATTCATACTATTGGCTTATTACTGTTACTGATATCAGGAACTTAGAGTTGAAAAAAAGTTGATGTTTTTTTGAAGCTTTAAAAACTACTCAATACTACATTGTTGCCGGGGTTTCTGTCCTGCCCAGTTCCCACAGTTGTTAAGTCCTAAAGAAATCACACAGAAGTCTACATTAGTTATAGACTGATTGGCCCATTAGCTCAGGCTTCTTATTAACTCTTATAACTTACATTAGCCCATTATTCTTATCTGTGTTAGCCACATGGCTCAGTACCTTTTTCGGCAGTATAGTCACATCTTGCTTCTTCTGTGTCTGGACAGGACTGCAGAGGGAGCTTCCCTTTTCCCAGAATTCTCCTGTTCTCATTGTCCCACCTCTACTTCCTGTCTGGTTATCTTGCCTTTACTTCCTGCCTGGCTATTGGCCAACCAGTGTTTATTTAAAACATAACTGACAGAATATAGACAATTGTCCCGCACCACTACATTGGAAGAAAACATGAAGGAACATATTCTCAAAGGGCCTACCAAGCCAGGCAGTGGTGGCGCACACCTTTAATCCCAGCACTCGGGAGGCAGAGGCAGGCAGATCTCTGTGAGTTCGAGGCCAGCCAGGTCTACAAGAGCAAGTTCCAGGACAGGAACCAAAAGCTACGGAGAAACCCTGTCTCAAAAATTCAAAAAAAAAGAAGGGGGCCTACCAGTCCACCTCCTTAACTAATCACTGTTCTTCCTCTAGCATGTCGTTGACTTTCTTCCTCCAAATCTTCTTTTTACAGTATCCAGAGGTTTAGATGGGGAAAGGGGCTTTGAGTTGTAGAGGAGCCACATGATCAGCAGCAGCAGAAGTGACCAATCTATATCAGCTGGGCTATGATAGATGCCTAAGAGAGACAGTGTAAAAGAGGGAAGGTTGGTTTTTGCCTCCTGATCTCAGAAGTTTCAGTGCATGGGCACTTGGCTCTATTGTTTCTGGGCCAGTTGTAAGGCAGAAAACATCATGGTGAGGAGCACGAGGCAGAAGCAAACTGCCCACCTCACAGCGGCCAGAAAGCAGAGAGAGATGTGAGGATATCAAAGAGACGGTATAGATTTCCAAAACACATCCCTGGTGACCTACTTCCTTCAACTGGACCCCCACACCTACCCACCATTTCCAATTGCCATCATAGTATCAATCCTCCAGGGGATTAACCCATTGATTAGGTCAGAGACTTCAGGTTCCAGTCACTTCTAGAAGCCAGTTTGTTGGTAACCAAGCTTTTAAAACAGTGAACCTTTAGAGTCACTTCACATCCAAACTACACACTTCTGTTAACGACATATTTGACAGTATCTCCATAAATTGTCTCTGCCTTTGTTTTCTAATAATCCTAATACTATTAGATACAAGAAGAATCAATTATTAGACATACTCAGCCATGGAAAGGTTGAAAAGATTTTTGAAAATGAGAAGCTGAGTTTTGAGTAATGGGAGAGTTCCATATTGTTAAATTCAGTAGCTAGCGAGGTCGGGAGGAGTGGTAGCTACTCTCAACAATTTTCACCATACCTTCTTTTAACCCACAGGTGCTGGTTGCTATGGCATCTGAAGAACTCGCCAAGGGCTGGACCCAGTGGTGAGTGTGCCCCTATCCTAGGTAGCAGGTAGTTCTCAGACAAACTTAGTCGTGTGTCCATCCAGCAGCACCCTGAAGCCTGACCCAAACCTATTGTTTCTCAGGTATGACCTCACAGAAGATGGAACAAGGCCTCAGGTGATAACGTAGCCATGCTGGACATAGGCCTATTTCTCAACGTGACGCACCACCTCAACATGGAACTCAACTTCTTGCAGATGTACCAATGCTATTTTTATAAGTATTGAGTTATACATACCTTAATAATTTTATAAAACTGTTGGCGTTGTAAGAAACATTTGGCCAATATTATTGATAATCTTCCCATTGAGTTCCCTCCAGTGTTTCACCAGGCACTGCAGAGTGCAGTGGTGTACAGCAGTGTGTTCCTGTGCTGTGTGGGGCTCTGTCGGCCACAGCTGCTGGAAAGCAGCCACCTGTATTCCTGATTTCTGCCTTGTCTTGCATCCCAGAGGTGCACTACACCATGTAAATAGACTCTGTTTTTTTATACTATCTACATGCTGGTTTGGAAGAAGAAGAAAATGTATCAAGGAAATACATATTTTCTTCTAAAACTTATTAGATTCTGGGACAGATAATCATTTTCATCTTTACAGCAAAAAGTTCTCATAGCTCTGTTGTATGATACGACTTTTTTAAGGGAAAAATGGAAAGATTATTAAATATTGGATATTTATGTCTAGCATTAATAATAAAAGAAAGTGTTCAAATTATTAACATTATTGTAAATAGGGAGATATAGTGAGAAAACAGTAAATGACTTATTTAAAAAGTTTTATAACTGAGTAAGACAATACCAAGACTATTGTCAAAGCTCAGGAATCACAGTATATTCATCTGAAATTTATTACATAAGAAAGAAATGTGCACTGTTTATAATTGTTTGTTATAACTGATTCATAAAATAGTGCAGAGATACACACATGCCAGGTGTAGTACCTCATACCTGTAATAACAGGATATGGGAGGCCAAGGCAGGAATACCAAGAGTTAGAGGAGCAGCCTGGGCTACACAGCAAGACCCTATCTTGAAAATAAGAAATTCATACTTTATATTTTGCTCAAAGCATAGGAACTAACTGCCAATATTAGGAGATAAGGTGTTGTCCACATTGGATGCAAGCCTGGTTTGTTTATCCACATCTCTAACCCTATAAAAACAGGCCCATTGTTAGTTTAAAGTGGTGAAACAGATTGGGTGAGTTCAAGGGATGTTGTGCTAAAGACTGGCACTGCACCTGCTCTTGCTGGGAGAACCTGGCTCTATATCCATCATACAGGATGAACACCTCTGAATGGAGCTTTCTGTACTTCCCCTGATAAAGTACATGACAAAGGGAGAGATCCTGCCCAGTGCCAGCAACAGAAGCTGTCAGTCTTGCCATTTTCTGGATGTCCTCGGTTTGTGCCACGTCAGATCATAATATAGAGATAGTATTATACAATTTTTAATTTAGAATCTTTTTTTCCTTTTTAGATTATGAAAAGCATGTTTTACATATGTAAGAGTCTCCTAGCACCCCTTGTAAGGTGAGGCTATATCACAGTATTATAAGCTATGCATGTCTGTAAACAAAGTACACATAAATGTAGGAAGACTTTTCAGTATGCATTTTAAGCTGTGGGATGAACAGGGCTTCTCAGCTATGAGATCCTTTGAAACTATGTACACTTAGAACAGGAAAATACAGCTTTGTAATCAAAATTCGAATAATTCCTTTCACATTCTTCCTGGAACTAAACAACTTATGGGAAGCTTATGTGACCAAACATACCAAAGTGCCTATGATGAATGCCGAGTGTTCTTTTACACTCTCCTCCTATCTAGCAGATGAAAGTGTGCCTCCGTTTGTAATGTACCATGGGTGCATTTGTAACAGAGTCTGTGGCTTTTCACAGCACATCCCAGGTAGTCACAGGGCCAGAGTAACCTCACTCTCTTGTCTGTTGACACCTTCCTTTGAATCTTGTTAATAAATCTTTTTCTATTAGTGTGCAGGATTGGTTTTTGTGGGAGAAGGTTGATGTGTATGTCACATGAACATATGTGCACATAAAACATTAAGGGTGGCATTTAGTCACAGGAGAAAGACAGGTGGTAACTTATTAAACTTGTTGCTTGGCCATGCTATTAGATTTTTTAAAGACTTTTTAATTACGTTCACTGAAGGGCTACTGTCATTATCTATAGAGATTTTCTTGATGAAATTTTACCATGTCAGTGGTTTTTCACCAACAACCTAAACATCTTGGTTTTGTGCCCATATGCTTAATCTGTTCAGTGTGATTTTATTTAATATAATACTTAACAACTAGGCAAATTGAATATTATTAAGGATACAGTACTCTAATAAGTAAATGTAACACCTCAATATGATGCCCTCTGCTGCAGTCACAAAAGCTGGCACCAACGAGTTCAGGTACAGTCTCCCCTCCTGCATCATCTGAATCCTCTAGTAGCTGTCTCCACACTCTTTGGGAAGGAGAGAGAGATTCTGGTAATACCAGCCCACTTCCTGACTGCTGTCCTGTGTCCTGCCTGTGGGGAACTGAGTTCTCCTCAAGGCACGTTCCAGTGTCCTGAAGATGGAAGACACTTGGGGTTCTCAGAATATGAACTTTTAGTTTTTAATGACTTATCTAGGAAAAAAGAACTTTAAGTTTTCTACTCTGAGCCAAACCAACGAGAGGAAATTAGTGATTTGAAGCGCAGCTCCACTAACTTATTCACGTGGTGGCTTATCCTGTGCCTTAAGTACCGAGGGATTGTCAAGTTTAGATGAAAACAGAAGCAGCCCTGAAACTCTGTTTGCCACCATTTGTATCCCGTGCTCTAGATTTTCTCCACAGGTAGTCCCTATGCACAGGTCAGGCCTTAAGAGATTTTAGACTATTTCAAAATCCTCAGGCAGATGCAGAGAGCATGGGTGCTGGCTATGTATTCTCTGGTTGCTGCAATGACTGGTCCCACCTGGATTATCCACTGTAGAGGAGAAACATAGAGGGTTGGTTTTTGATTTTGGTTTTTTAATCATAGAATATGCTTTTGCTTAATTAATTTTACATAACAGCACAAGTATTTATTCAATAAAACTTTTGTTAGCTCACTTGTAATATGTTTTTTTGTTTGCTTCTTGAAATGAAAGTTTTAGTGTGGAAACATAATTTGGGAAGTCCACATGCGATGTCATGTATATTTGCTGTTTTGCATTCTCTCGTTGTTCAAGAGGTTTGAGATTACTCATTCCCGTCTCTGTTTGACTCTTCTCTGTGTAGCTCCCAGACTCTGGGTTTTGCGAGCAGCTCTTTGAAGGGCAATGGTTGAATAGTAAAAGCAGACTAAATAAGACTAAAACACTGGTAAGTCCTTAAACAACCTGTAGAGATAGGTGCTGTTTGAACAGTGTGGAAATAGTTGTGTATCTAGTGTCTCAGTAGGCCTGAGGAAACACTTTGTAATCTTTCTTAGGCATTTTCCCATCTAACACTATTAGTTTCTTTGTCCATATGCTGAAATGCCAGGTTTGCCTGGCCTTGTTTGTTTGTTGACAGCGTAGCCAAAACTGGCTTTCAACCAAGTCCTCTTGCCTTAGTCTCCTAAATGCTGAGATTTATAACTGTATGCTCCAAATCTAGTTTCTTTGTCCTTCATAATGCCTAGCTTTACATCCCTCCATTAAAAAAAAAAAATCAGAACACCACGCATGCTGGGCAAGCACTTTGTCACTGCTTCACACTTGACCTTTGGGTATCACTCGTCACTGCTGGTATTTGTAAAAGACCTCTTTTCTTGTTTCTCTTACCTACAATCTAAGTATTGAAGTACACGTTTTTCCTGATCTTTTTCATTTTTATTTGTATTCTTAATACCACTGACCATCTGTGTCACAAACAGACTTTCCTTCAGCACTGAAAGCCAGTGTGTCGTGTTCCCTCTAAAGCATCTGTCTTCTAGGAGGTCTAGCAGGGTTCCCTCTTGTTTTTGTCTCTGTCTAGTTATCTGAGCTAGGGATTTGAACAGCATCGTGCTCTGGCTGCCTCCCTTGCACACACATATACTGGTCTTCATTCAGTCCTGACTTGAGGACATACCTATTTTTGATACAGCCTTAAGCCAATCTTGGTCAACTCCCAGGTTTCAGCTGCCCCCATCTTTGTTTTTTATTAACATCCAAGGGATCTTTTAAAAACCTTAGTGCTACACTGGTCAGCCATCCAGACCAGGCAGTGGTGGCACACACTTTAATCCCAGTAGCCACACTAGTTTACCATAGAAACCAGGCGTAGTGGTGCACACCTTTAATCCCAGCACTAGAGAGGACTATAAAACACGATACAGGAACTTGTGCTCTTTCAGTCTGAGGGTTTCTTAGAAGAGCTCTCCAGTGACTTGGCTGCTTTGCTTTTTTATTAATCACGCTACAAAAAACAAACCCTAACTACTGTTTTCCTTTGCCCTTGCACTTAACACTAAGAGCCTGTAGCTCCCATGCCCTGAGACTTCGACAGCCACAGATTTCCTCCAGGGTCTGCTTGTACTCGTTTAATTACCATGGTTCTTCCCACCTCCGCATACCATGACATTCTTCCCAGGACACTGACCTGAAGAGTGTCCACTTCCCTTCACATCACTTTAAGATTGTCTATTACCAGCAGTCTAGCCATAAATAGCCTCCCCAGCACAGACCCTTGGCACTGTATTGCTCTTCTTCATCTTACTTACGAAGTTTTGCTTGACCACTACTTAAAATTTTTCTCTCTGGACTATAAACCACCAAGAGCAGAGACTGTGTGAGTGTTAATTTTCGATAGCTGTCCTTAGCATGCAAATGATAATCCAAATCTATTGAATAAATGATCTATAAACATTGACTGACCGTATAAGACTCCTGTTTTGATGAGTTTTCACTCAAAGAATTTTAGTTACCTCTGGACAGTTTTATTAAAGGCTGAACATAAATTTATGTTCAGTTAAAAACAGATCACAAAAATGAGAAATTTAGGAAGTCTTAATTTATTTGATACTACTCTGAAACTCCTGGACATATCACTGTAAAAAGAAGTTGTCTTTAATGTATATACTGAGAGGGAGAGATAGCTTCAGAAATGGTTGTCTACTTGGAAACTACAAAAGAATAGCCTTAATAAATAACTAAAAACCTTGGATTTAACAGAGGTTTAATGAGTTTAACCATGAGACTGTAAATCTCCATTTCTTACATTCAAATAGTAATAACAATTAGAAAATATGAAGGCTTTAAAAAATCATACAACAGACTTAGGACTACAATAGCAGTGAAAACCTACAATCCCCAAAGGGGAAAGAATGGATTTAGAAAATGTCTTATCCCAGAAAACTGCTACTGTGTGGCGTGTCTGGATCCTAGGAAATGTGTCTGTTGTGTTTGTCAAACAGAATATTGTTGCTGCCTGAGCCTTTATTACCTCTAGAGACAAGTTGACAAAACAATACAAGAAAAGCCAGGAATAATAAAGGAGGGCTGTAGAATGTTTGGGGGGATGTGGAAAAGTGTGTGTGAGGAGGGGGCACATGCGTTTCTGGAAATAATCTACAAAAGTCTTGTTTCTGGGTGCCATAAAGAGTGGGGATTAATTGATCCAAAGTACTAAAAAAATCTTGATTCACTTACTAAGTAATAGCATACACTAGCCAGGCAGATACTTCAAAGAATATGCCTTTTAGGTATTATAGTTAATCCGGGAAAGCAGCAACAAAGCCTGAAAAGAGGAAGAAGGAGCTTGTTCACATAATTGTCATACTATATTAAGTTTTTAACCCCAAAATCATGAGGTACACAAAGAAATGAAATGTAGTTCATATGCCAAAGGCAGGGACCAAACTAGTAGAAACTGCCTCTAAGCAAGTCCAGATGAACTTAAGTTAGCTACTGTCATATGTTGAAACAAACAAGAGAGACTACATGTCTAAAGACTAGGGAGACAGGAGAACAAGTAGAAACTCCTGAATATAAGGAACTCAAGGTTCACTAGAGTTCAGCAGATTGAGCAGACGGAAGAAAATCAGCATATGAAGATGGATTAATAAGGACTATCCAAACCAAGGAACAAAGGTAATGCAGAATAAAGAGAAATAAATGGATACATGAAGACCCGTAAGGATGGAGAGGAGCACCTAAAAAAAGTTTTAAGAACCACTGTAGGCTAATGAGATGACTTAGCAGATAAAGGCCCCTCCCGCTAAACCAAATAACTATGTTCCATACCCAGAATCCATATTGTAGGAGAGAACTGACTCCTCCAAGTTGTCCTCTGAACTCCACATGTATGTTGGCAAGTACATGCACACACAATAAATAAGTAAATTTTATTTTTAAATGTTTTTAAAAGAGCAATATGAGGTTGGTGTGATGGCATGCACCTGTAATTCTAGCACTTGCGGAATAGAGGCAGAAAGATGAGTTCAATGCTAAACTTGGGTATGTAATTCCAGGGCAACCTGGGCTACATAGAAACTTGTCTCAAAAGAAGGAAATTTGACAAAACGAAGTATAATGAAGAAAATATACATATTAAATGAACTGTAAGTGGGATAAACTTCAAGAGCCATGCCTAGATACATTTTAATCAAACAGATGCACAAGACACAACACATACTGTGCATGACGCATAGCTAGTACATACCAGAAACAATACAACACACAGCATATACATAGCACAGCATATATGAAACACTGTAACTACAACTCAGCATATGCATAGCATACCATAAATACAATACATAGCATATAGACAACACTGGGCACACACAACACAAATATAAAGGTATAGTATTCATAGCATACAATACAAAACACTGCCCCTCACATTAATGGGAATACAACACAATACGCTGCATATATAACAGTATATACAGTATACAACAGTACATGTAAGTACCACAAATGTGTAATATATGACAATGTAATTCACACGTGGACAACACAGCATGCAGAACACATTATGCCCATCACCTAACATGGATAACACAACACACTTCTTGATTTCTAAACCAATTATGCTAAGTGCAAGAGAGGATTCTTGTTTTTTGTGATTTTGCTGTCTTATCCAAGAACAGCAAAGGTGTTATTTGCTCTGTGCGAATTTGACATCGGCCTCTAACAGGCTGTCCAAAGGCTAGCAACTGATGGCGACTTTTGCGAAATGTGCTCCACACTTGGCTTTTTGTTCTCTGTGAGTGACTCCATCTCAGTGTTAGAGACACTACTTCTCTTTTGTTGGGTCCTGGGGTCGACTTCAGGTCATCAGGCTTTGTGTCAAGATCTTGCCTTTATAAAGGTATAATTCCTTTTCTCTATTGTTAGATCCAATTTCATGATATTTTGTTGGATTCAAACTGGTGATATCTTGGTGGAAATTTTGCTTCTGTATTCTTTTGAGATATTGTGTAATTGTATGATTATCTTGTTTTAGTATTCTGGCATGTGTCATAGGATAAGTTGGGAAATATATAGTCTATTTCTGCCCTCTGGAAGAAACTGAAGAATAGGTCTAGGGCTGGAGAGATGGCTCAGAGGTTAAGAGCACTGACTGCTCTTCCAGAGGTCCTGAATTCAATTCCCAGCAACCACATGATGGCTCACAACCATCTGTAATGAGATCTGGCATCTTCTTCTGGTGTATGGGCATACATGGAAGCAGAATGTTGTATACATAATAAATAAATAAATCTTTAAAAAAAGAATATCAAAAGAATAGGTCTAACTCCTTCTTTGAACGTATGGTAAAATATCATTGACACCTGGCCTATGATTTGTTAGTTCGGTGTACTTATAGATTGACTAAGATTTTATATCTCTTCCTATACTGTATCATTGTCATATGGTTATCATTGACAGACCTAAAGGTACTCACAGTATTTCTTGGGGGTTTTTATTTTCAGGTTCATAAGATCAGTAATGGATCAGTAATGATATTTCTTTCCTTTTTCCTTCTGATATTTGTGATGCTTAACCTTTTCCTCAGTCATTCTGGATAAAGTCTATAATTTTTTTCTAGACCAAGATAATTCTGTTGCTTGATTTTTTGCTTATTATTTTACCAATCTTTTACGATTTCATCATTTAGTTTCTGGT